GAGAGAGAGAGAGAGAGAGAGAGAGAGAGAGAGAGAGAGAGAGAGAGGGCGCCACGGCATGTGCACACATGGACTCATATATGTATACATACACATGCACTCATATATGTAAACATACTCATGCACTCATATGTAAACATACACATGTACTCATATGTAGACATCAAATACACTCATACATAAACATACACACACACTCACTGGTAAACATACATATCCACTCATGCAAATGTATACACACACACACACACACGATTTAAAATATTTTTTAAAAGACTACAGAACAGGAGGTGTTCAATGGTAGCGCACTTATTTGGTTTACACAGGGTCTAAGTTCAATCTCCAGCACTGCCAAAATCAACAGACAAACAAACAAATAAACAAACAGGTCTGTTCAGTTTTCCAAAAATGGCATCTCATGCCTTTCATCCCAGCATTTGAGGTGAAGGCAGAGACAAGAGGACCTCTGTGAGTTTAAGGCTTGCCTGAACTACACAGTGAGTTCCAGGTCAAGACAGCCAGGGCTACATAAGGAGACCCTGTCTCATTCATAGATAGATAGATGATAGATAGATGATAGATAGAAGATAGATAGATAGATAGATAGATAGATAGATAGATAGATAGATAGATAGATGCAAAAGTCTGGTTACTAGCTCTATTCTGTTTATGGTGTTAAGGCCCAAACCTGGAGCTTCTGCACACTCTGCAAGTGTGCTCTCCAAAGAGCTATATGCCCAGCACTCTCCCTCCACCTGTTGAGGTTTATAAGGGAAAAGAGAGTGAGAAAGGAGGAGGGAGAGGAGGAGGGGTGGAAGAAGAAGAGGAGGGGGAGGGAGAAGAGAAAGGCTGATACTGGCAGCCAGGACAGCAAGCCTGGTCTGGCTCTATTCCTTGTGTGGTGACCTGCAGAGATGATGGGCATTTTTATTTGTTTGGTTTGGTTTTCATTTTTTAATATGTTACTTAAAATAAATAATGAGGGAGGCACTCGTGTGGAGATCAGAGGACAACTTGCTGGAGTCAGTTCTTTTCCTCCACCAGATGAGCTGCAGGGATCAAACCCAGGTCAGCAGGCGTGGGAGCATCCGTCTCCAAACACTGAGTCATCTTGAAGGCCCAGAGGATCTTGGTAGAAACGGTCCGTGAAGCCCGTGGCTGCTCCATGCTGAGCACAGTCTCTCGTCCTGTGTAACCGGCCCTGGGTTTGAGGGCTGCCGGTATCCCTGGCCTGGATGTTTGGTGAGGTCTGTCAGGCACAGACAAGTCTAGCTCTGGCTCTGCAGTAGCTCTGTGGGCATCACTTGACCCTGTCCAGGGGATCCTTGTGTTCTGAGTCAGAGCAGAGGAGCCATCCTGGCCTAGTTCCTTTACACCTGCAGTGAGTTGCTCACCCAGGGATGCACCTGTCCTGCCCTGAATAGGACGATGACATGGAGCGGGTACTGAGCTAGTTGTCTGAGAGGGCTCTAAGGATAAGTGAGAGAGAGAGAGAGAGAGAGAGAGAGAGGGAGAGAGAGAGAGAGAGAGAGAGAGAGAGAGATGACTCGGCCAGTTTCTCCAAAAGTCACCTTCACTCTGAAGCAGGTATGTCCACTGTCTTAGACTCAACAGCTCAGGATTTGAGGTGACTTGCTTCTGTCTTAGGGTTTTATTGCTGTGAACAGACAACATGACCAAGACAACTCTTATAAGGACAACATTTAGTTGGGGCTGGCTTACAGGATCAGACGTTCAGTTCATTATCATCAAGGCAGGAACATGGCAGCATCCAGGCAGGCATGGTGCAGGCAGAGCTGAGAGTTCTATATCTTCATCTGAAGGCTGCTAGTGGAATTCCAGACTAACTTAAATCTCCTTAGGTGGGTTGTATTAGTCAGCTGCTTGTCATTATAAGAGAAAACCTCCAGACAATTAACTTATGAAGAGGAAAGTTTTTACTTCAGTGTATGTTTCTTTTTTTAAAAAAAAATATTTATTAAAAAAAATATTTATTTATTGTATGTATGTGAGTACATTGTAGCTGTCTTCAGACACACCATAAGAAAAAATCAGATCCCATTACAGATGGTTGTGAGCCACCATGTGATTGCTGGGAATTGAACTCAGGACCTCTGGAAGAGCAGTCAGTGCTCTTAACTGCTGAGCTATCTCTCCAGCCCTCAGTCCATGTTTCTAAAGGTTCCAGTCAAACCTGAGCGTTTCCATGGCCTTGGGCCTCTGGCAAGTGCAGCACACATACAGGTGAAAATATATGGCAGAGTTGGCTTTCATTGTGAGCCAGGAATCACAGCAAGAGGGGAAGAGGAAGAAGAAACCAGTGCTGGGAATCCCCCACTTTGAGGGCACTCCTCCTTGACCTGAAGACCTCATACAAGGACAAGGACAGTTTCCTCTGAGCCCCACCACCTCCCCACGGCACCACTCTGGGAATCAGGTCGTTTAAGACACTGGCCACTGGAGAACAGAGTTTTTATTCCAGCTGTTGCCTACACAGAGGGTGGAATTCAGGCAGTGAGAGAGGAATATTGTGTCCTCCCACCCCTGGTCTCATAGGTGAGCAGGAATGGCCATGGAGATCAGGATCTGAGCGTGGTTTTCTTCATGTTCCAACTGGCATTCACAATCTCCATGTGGCTTCCAGCCATGACTGTGACCGGGGAGCAGATGAGCCTGGTGGAGTTTCCCTGATGGCCGCATCAGTAAGCAGCAGTGGGATTTCTTGCCCTTACCAAGGACTTGAGCGAGGCCAGACTCACTTCTGAAAGGAAACACAACTTGCTTTCTTTCTTTTTTTTTTTTTTTTAAAGTCTAGGCTAAGGCTGGGTGTGGTGGCATGCACCTAAAGTTCTAGATACTCAGAGCCTTTGGTAGGATTGTTAATTCAAGGCCAGCCTGGTCTGTACAGTGGGGTCTTGTCCCAAAAATAAATAAGCAAACTAATAGAAATTAACATGCTAATTATGTAAATATATGTAAGATTTAAGCCACTTTTATGAACTTATCTCCAGTTGGGGTTTTGTTTAATTAAATTTATTTATTACTTACTGTGTATCTGCTTGGGCATGTGTATGGAGGTCAGCGGACAACCCGAGACAATCGTTCACTCCTTTCCCTGTGTGGGTCTGAGGACTCAAACTCAGATCTTCGAGCTTGGTGGCAAGCACCTTAACTCACTGAGCCATATCATTGGCCCCTCTGCTTGTGTTTAAAGATACTGGCATTTAAGTAAATGAGGGGCCTGATGAGGGACTGGGGTTCAGTTATCCATGGGGTTATTAACGATTTTTGTCTGTTTGCTTTTTGAGACAAGGTTTTCTTTATAGTCCAGGCAGGTTTCAGATGCATTTGTAGCCTAGGTTGGCCTCAAATGACAATCCTCCTGCCTCAGCCTCAAGAGTGTTGGGATTACAGATGTGAGCCATCAGATCTGGCCAATTGCTGACATCTGACAAGGAACGAAGGGGTAATTTTTTGCTGCAGAAAAGGAAATCTGAGCCGGTCGGTGGTGACACACGCCTTTAATCCCAGCACTTGGGAGGCAGAGGCAGGCAGATTTCTGAGTTTGAGGCCAGGCTGGTCTACAGAGTGAGTTCCAGGACACCCAGGGCTATACAGAGAAACCCTGTCTCGAAAAACAAAACAAAACAAAAAACAAAAAAAGGAAATCTGATGATGGTTTAGCTCCTTTCTATCCCTCTTATAAATGGGGTACCAGGTTGTGAGGAAGTATTGTTGATGTTAATAGAACCCTTAATGATTGGCTTCTGTGTATTCAGTGTTTTGCTCTGTGTGAGACACTTTATCTTTTAACCTACACATTTGTTATTTTTTTAAAAATAACTTTTTGATGCAGAAGATATTGAGCCCTGAAGAGTTTATATTAACTTGATTTTAATAGGAGTTTAGCTTTTCTTTCTGAATGTCAAGCATCAGGTTTCTGGTGGTGAAGAATCAGATATGGCTGTCATTTATCCTGGATTTTTTCTGGCTAGGGAGTTTGTCACCTACAAAGTAAGAATGCAAGGATTACTATTGCCGTGGCGGCTATTTGTCAGTCTGGGGACACAGAACACCTTTGTTCATGTCCTCTCTCATTGGCCTATGTCAAAAAGATTTATTTTTAATTTATGCATGTGAATATTTGGCTGTATGTATATACATATGTATGTATGCATGTATGTATATGCACCACATGTGCACATGGTGCACACAGAGGTCACAAGAGTGTGTTAGATTTCCTAGTACTAGAGTTATAAATGGCTGTGAGCCACCATGTGGGTGCTGGGAGACAAACCTAGGTCCTCTGCAAGAGCACCAGATGCTCATTTTAACTGCTGGGACATCTCTCTAGCAAATACTTATTTATTTTTTTGAAGCGAGGTCTCACTATGTATCTTCAGGACTCTGAATTCAAAATCTTCCTGCCTCTACCTGCCAGCATTACAGCCACAAGGCAGTGCCATGATCTCCTCTTTGTGTAGCTTTATTTCATCTGGATGTATTCTGAAAGACGTGTTTTTAATTTTACTCTGGTTGAACCCAGGTCTCCTACAGGATAGGTAAACCCTGTACCACCCAAACTACACCCTCATCCAGTTAGCCCTCCCCTTTTTACATTTATTAAAAAGATTGTCACAACATATATGTTTTTCCTTTTAGTTTTATATGTATGAACATTTTGCCTGTGGGCATGTATGTGCACTGCATGTGTGCCTGGTGCCTGTGGAGGACATCACAGAGGACATTAGATCTCTTGGAACTGGAGGTATGGATGCTCGTGAGCCATCATCTGGGTGCTAGGATTGACCCCCAGCCTCTGCAAGACAATACATGCTCTTGCCTTCTGAGCCCTCTCTCCAGCCCCTGGAGTTCTGTTTGGTTTTGCTTTTTGTTTCACCTGTTTTGAGACAATCTTCCTATTAGCCCTGGGCAGCCTGGTACTTTTTACACAGTCTAGGTTGGCCATGAGCTTGCTGCTTAGGGCTTGGGCACTGTCATTCTAATCTTGGTAGAGGTGATCCTCCATGCCCCATATCCCAGTGGAAGCTTTCCACCAGGCAGGAGACTCTCACTCTATGGGACTAACCCTGGCTCAGAGAGTGGGTGGGTCGGGTGAGCCTGGCACAGATGTTTGGGGTGAGGTCCTCCCACCTAAACCTCCAGAGTTCCATCCCTCATTATTCAGTGTCATTGACACATGTTGACTGTCGAGTAATATTCCTGTCTTATTGACTATACCACTGCCTGTCATTTCCCTTTTCTCTTGATGAAAGTCTGCGTTCCTTTTAGTTTTTTGCCACTGTGAACAGCTGCTCTAAACATTCCTCTACAGAGGAATTTCTCTTGAATATTTATTTTTTTGAAAGGAAGTGCTTTTGAAAAGAAAGTGCAATTCTTGGGTCAGAAAATATGTATTTGTTCTTTTTTTTTTCTTTTTTTTTTTTGTTTTGGTTTTTTGAGACAGGATTTCTCTGTATAGCCCTGGCTGTCCTGGAACTGGAACTCACTCTGTAGACCAGCAGGCTGGCCTCAAACTTAGAAATCTGCCTCTGCCTACCAAGTGCTGGGATTAAAGGCATGTGCCATCACTGCCTGGCTACAATATTGCAGGTGGTGCTGTACTATATATCAAAGGGTCTGTCTTAACTTATGTTCCAGCTGAAACACTTCTGTCACTTTGTATCCTCACCCACACCTGCCCCAGCATAAGCTCCGAGGGTCTCTTATCTATGATGTGCTAACCTTGCTCCAGTCTGAGGCTGTTTTCTGTGGGCAGCACAAACCCTGCATTTTCTGGGGTTGACAGAGGTGACTGGGATCTGGGTGCATCCACTGGGTGAGATGCTATGAAGGTTACAGGACCTGAAGTTAGGAGTCTTGAGGTGCTCCTGGGATGTTAAAGGGTCCAGGGATATTACTGCTTCTCTTCAATCAGTCCCTTTGAGTGCCTCTGGTCTTAGCAACATCCCCCACTGCTCTATGGGTTAGAGGGGGCCTCCACACTCACTGTAACATCTCCACCATCCAACTCCAAGTTGCACATTACAGGACACAAATACAACCCCTTAAACTGCTCCTTCTCATTCCTCACTGGAGGAGAGGCTAAGCCATCCCTGCAGGGTCTGCTCCAGGGCTTCACATGACAAGCTCTGCTGATCTGTAGGACTTGCCAGGTAGGGGAGTCTGTCTTGGCACCCCATTTTTCCTTCTCTACTCACACAGCCGCCTCCCCCTCCTAGGTCCCATGTCCCTCTCTGAAGCCAAACGGAGCTGAACCTCTTTCCCCAATTCTCCTTGACCCATATCCACTCGGCTGTCCTGGAGAACATGTTTCTTCTCACTCACCACTTCCTGCTACCACACACGGATTAAGAAAAGGCACAACGTGATGGTAAAGTGGAAAAACGGACCACGTTTCCTTTCCTCCTGGGACACCAAACCCCACTTTCAGATCATGCTTCCCTTGTCTCTCTCTCTCTCTCTCTCTCTCTCTCTCTCTCTCTCTCTCTCTCT